ACCAATGACAGAGCAGCGCAGGGGTGAGGGGAGATGACGTAGGGACGTCAGTCAACCTTCTCAGCAAATCAGAGCGCTCCACACAGCAATATTCAACCAATCAGGAAAGCGTTTTAGCCAGCATGTTAGGTTAGCGTGAACATGAGTTCGTCAACTTTTTCGTCTTGTAAACTGTCAAAATGCACTTTTTCTGTTAAACTTTGTAACGATTAACTCTGAGCTGCCCGGAGTCTGCAACTCCGGTCTCAAAACGTCTTTCTAGCTATCCAAACAACTCGTCCCAAGTTTTTCAGAAACGAGCCGGTCCACAGAACCGGGTCTTTCAGCAGAACCTCCGTACTTTTAAACAGAAACAACGTTTCCCACAGCTCATAAGCTTAGCTACACATAGCAGTCGTACAAATTCAGCTTTCATAAAGACTTATGACACTATTTCAGCTTTCTGTGAGCTCCCTGAGCTCCACAGACCAACACGCTTAAAAACATGCAGCGTTTCGCTTCAGGCGGTGCAGCTCCGGCTGCGTTTCAATCACAGCTGATAAACTGTTATTTTATCAACATGCCAACATGTATAAAAATCAATTTTACACGAATTCACAGTCATTTATGAGACTTTACGGGCCACCAATATGTGGTGGAAACGTACGGACGGGTCACCAATATGTAGTATGACAATATATGAGATATATGCATACAATTTTCACGAGTTCCTCATCTTTCTGACTGTGTAAATGTCGTGCATTGAATTTAACAGAAATGTAACGAGAGACGTTATTTATCTTTGACCCATCAAAATGAATGCGGTCATTTATTTTCAGAATCAAAGTTTAACATCAAACATTTACATTAATTTGGCAAAATATGAAAATAATAACAGACAAGTTTCACAGAAAATGAACTTCAATCACGCGGCGGTGACTGAGGACTTTGCTTCAGATATTTCTAAAATATCTGTACTGATTTTATGAGATAGAGGAGAGTTTTAAGATGAAATGGAGATTTATCTTACAGAGAGATATGTGAGGGAATTAATCTGTTTGACCAGAAATTGCACGCTCCATCAGATATCAGCTTGCCCACGGTACACTTGGTCGAAAATAGAACCCTCTACCTGTTGATGATGAAATCAGCGTCGGAGCAGGTTCCTTTCTGACTCTTTTCAGCGTCTCCGTGAGAACTGCCAAACCCTCAGAGAGTCGTACGTGGTGTTCAAACAGAAATTATAATCCCAAAACGTCTCTGGATCATCCTGAACGCGTTTGCACCCAAGAACTCTGAACTCCTTTCATTCTTCAGAACTTCTCAGACTCTAACAGAATCTTTCAACTCCAGCAACTCTCTAGTTCTTCATCTCCTCAGCCTCTGGAATTCTCTGGAATTCTCTGCAATTCTAACATGAACTGGGAAGTTGCCACATTTTAAATGGGTCGACTTCCGGTTCATTTGAGAGCTTTTGATTGGTCGATGGACCAGGAATAGAGGTGTGGTGTATGATGTAAGATGTTATTAAAAATCAAGGATTGTTTAGTAACGAACAGAAAGATTATTGTAGGACTTCAGACTTCGTGGAGTCTCACACTTATAATCTCCTGCAAAAGTTTAAACATGACATCTTTCTCGGTAAACATTTTAGTTGACCGAAAACCGACCTTTAACATACTTACATTGCAGACAGAAAAATCAAGAAATGCATATTAACCTGATTTCTTCTTTGAATGAGGAATAAAAATCATTACTTACTGTTTATGTAAAATAAAAATGAGTAGTTCTCTTCAACCTGTAACATTGAGTGAACCAACACAATTTGATTATCAAACATTTGTAAAACAGTGATGATTATAGAGAATTGTCTTTTCTGCTTGATTAATTCAAGAAAGAAAGTCACCAGATGGCTCAGACTGTATTCAGATCAATGAAATAACAGTCTCTGTCCATCTGATAGATTTGAGGTCATCTGGGTCAGATCAGGGTCAGATCAGGTTCACTACAGTCCCCCCTTTGGAAATCATCACCTGTCCATGGGGATGAATTCCAACCGTGAACTTAGACCTTCAAATGTCCTTGAGCTTGATGTAATCCAGCAAGGAAGACCAAAGTCAAAAGTAATCCAGCAAGGAAGACCAAAGTCAGAAGTAATCCAGCAAGGAAACAAAGTCAAGGTAATTCCACAATGTTCTTGGTATTCCATTGTGTTGATTATAATTCCATATCGTCTCGATAATTCCATTGTAGCAATGCTTTAACCCCTTGGAAACAGAGTCTGTAATCCATTGGAAAAAGTCATATAATCCACAACGGTAAATCCACAACGATTGGAAGTGTTGATTAATCAGCATACAGAGGGGTACCCTTGGGTTGAACTGAAGAAGCGGCCACTGGATGAAGAGTGGAGACCAACGTCAGGATTGCAGGTCGCCTCCAGCGAAGGTTGTCTCCAGCGACGTCCAGCCTGTGCCGTTCTGGTTCAATGTGTCATGCAATTATGTGGTTTAAGGTGGGCTTATGAAGGGGATTTTACATAAGGCCTTAAACTATATGCATCTGGTGTGTAAGCTATTATGGTTGGGAACAGCTACAACTACCAGTTAAGGGGTGGAAAATGCTGAAAAGGGGTAACTACAGGGGTTTATGCCTATAGAAAAGTGTTCCAAACTATTTTTCCATTTCTAACTTGGTTTAAGTTAGCTTTACATGGTAAAATATAGTTTGGTGCAATTGTCTGTTGTCTTTTAGACGAACGACTTGAGATTGGGTGTTTGGTTTTCCCATAAATGTTTTGGAAGTCTATGGCGAGACTTATCAAAAAGAATTAGCTATCCCCCCGAATAGAATTGTTCGAGTAGGTTCGGCTTAAGCGTTGTGAGATCAATGTAGATTATGGTACTTAAGGTAGCAATAATATACATTGACTCCGCAAAGATTGCAATTTAGTGAATGAACTGCATGTTGGCATGGTCAAAGGCTTCTTAGTCTCTAACTTACTACACAACAAAATTCATTCTTGCCTGGGGTGTTCGAAAACAATACCAAAAACCAATTAAACGATGTCTCAACATCAACAAGAACAGTAACTAAGCAACCAGTTAAACAACGTTTCAACATCGACAAAAGCAGTGATTAAGCAACTAGGAAACAACGTTTCGGTGCGCCACTCACTCTGAATGTCAGATTTGATCATGTTATCGCGTCTGGTAGCATTATCCTAACTGGCGTCACCCCCCTTCGGTCATGGGAGACTGCGAACACGGGTGAGGACGTCGCTCCATGAGCTAAAGTTAGGCTGTCCTTGAGTAGTTTTAACTGTTTGCGCAGCTGAAAGAGGACTTTTAGGTCTGGATTGGAATCCAGTTTGACTTTCGATGGAGTGTATTTGTCTGGGTCAGTCAGATACAGTATCATCGAGTTAATTTCAGGATCATTCAACTTCTGAAGTTGGATGATGTCTGGGTCAGTTGAAATTGACTTTTCATATTTTAAAAGAACTTGGCGAGTGTTGTCTCTTTCTTCATCAGATGTCAGAGTGTCGGCTTGAGCGACCACCTGTTCAATCTGTGATGGGACTGATGAGGGTTCTTGCTCCATGGGGAGCTCCAACGAATCCTTTTCTGAGTCGTCGGACCTGTCTATGGGCAAAGCACCATAGGTTTGAGGTCCTTGGTCGACATCATTGGTTGAGAAAAGAGCGATGGCCTGTGATGGTTTCGTGAAACATACTGGCCCAGCTTCTTGACTCGGTACCAGGTTATCTGGGAGTCCTCCCAGAACTGGGATGCCTAGTTCAAAATCATGAAGGTCAGGTTCTGAGTTTTCAGTTTGCGATGACTCATCATCATTTGTGTGTGAGTTTATCCCCCCTTCGTCCGATGAGGGGTTGTTGGAGGCAGCAACAGCAATGTCTTGGTGTGTTTCACCGACATCTGTAATGTTGTCATTCGCGCCTTCAGATTTAGTAGCGATCAGATCACTACATTGTGCTCCTGGTTGGGTTCCCATTTCAGCGTGTATCAAAGTGTCTAAAAACCTTTGCATTTCCTCTGTCTCTTCCGAGCTCAGAGGTTTAGGGCCTTGTTCCTGGAACTTTTGTGATTTTTTCGCCTCGGGACGTTTCGTCCGAGGTGGGAGGCGGCTAGGTACGTCTTTTGGGGGTTCCTCTTCGGATTTCCCTTGATAATATGGGTCCTCTCGGTTCCCATATTCTTGCGTCCTACGCATGTCCCATATACGATAATCACGTTCATCCTCTGAAAGAGGAGCCTTTTTGTTCCAGCGTGCACCTTCATTATGCGGTTTGTTAGTCTGAAAATACTGCCTTTTCTCGCCTGTTTTAGGAGGAGGTGGCGTCGCACGCCTTCCTTCCATTTCTAGGGAGTGGGGTTTAACCTTTACACCAGGAAACACTTCTATGGGCGTCTTATCATGAGAACGTGCCTCAAACACATTCACAGCACACTGTTTAATCTCATTTATGGATTTTTCTCTGAAATTTGCCATAATTTGTACTGACATGCGTATGTCAGTGTGGAGATTTTTGCTGAAAACATATTTAAAATTTTCTTCTTCCTCCATTCCGGTTTCATTTCTGTAACCAAAATAAGCTTGGAAGATTCTTTTGTAATAAACTTTTGGATGTTCAGCTTTACCCTGCGTGACCTTTTCTGCGGCTGGATATCCAGCTGGTCCTGTGCAGGAATCATACTCTTTGATCAGAGCTTCACACAGAAGTTTGTAATCCCTTCTCGTTGCATCTGGTAGACGCTCGATGAAGGTAAACACCTCTCTGTCCGAAGTGAGCCGTATCAGACTGATCTTATCCTCTACCATAGCATTAGGATAAGATCTCAATCTGAACTCCAGTTCTCTGAGGTACGCTTTTGTTCCAGATGAGCCTTTTTGTCCAGGTACAAAACGTTGTACATATTTTGAGATTTTTTGCAAACTGTAGACCTCATTCCACATGCGAGATAAAAGAACAGAAGAAAATGAGAAGATGAGCTGCTGACCTTGCTTCCATTTGAGCAATGATCACCTCCTCAGCCTCCTTCTTAACATTGTCCATCACTGGGCCCAGCTGATCCACTTGGGTCCTGGCGTTTTCTGTCTGAAACCCAAACAGATGTACAGATACTTCAGTTCTACATCATATGATGGTGCTGATTTATTTCTATGTTGCACACTAAGGATTGTAATTATGATTTGTTGTATTTTGTTAATTTTAGGTGGTTTTGAAATATTAAGATATTTCCTGATGCATGCTCAATAATCCAGGTAGAAAAATCTAAAAACGTTAAGTCTGGTCCTCTGGACGCACAAAGAAATTGTAGAAACGTTTCGTCTTTCATCTGAAAGACTTCGTGTGTGATCACGTGAGCAACTGGTTTTGGCTGTCAGCAGCAAACTGGTTGATCCACTACAAGCAGGTGCTATTTATAAGACCGAGCTGAATACAGCACCTCATCCATCCATCCATCCATCCATTTTCTTCCGCTTATTCGGGGTCGGGTCGCGGGGGTAGCAGCCTAAGTAGGGAGGCCCAGACTTCCCTCTCCCCAGCCACTTGGGCCAGCTCTTCTGGGGGAATCCCGAGGCGTTCCCAGGCCAGCCGAGAAACGTAGTCCCTCCAGCGTGTCCTGGGTCTTCCCCTGGGCCTCCTTCCGGTGGGACGTGTCCGGAACACCTCACCAGGGAGGCGTCCAGAAGGCATCCTAAACAGATGCCCAAGCCACCTCAACTGGCTCCTCTCGATGTGGAGAAGCAGCGGCTCTACTCCGAGTCCCTCCCGGATGATCGAGCTTCTCACCCTGTCTCTAAGGGAGAGCCCAGACACCCTGCGGAGAAAACTCATTTCGGCCGCTTGTATCCGAGATCTCATTCTTTCGGTCACAACCCAAAGCTCGTGACCATAGATGAGGGTGGGAACGTAGATCGATCGGTAAATTGAGAGCTTCGCCTTTTGACTCAGCTCTCTCTTCACCACGACAGACCTGTACAGCGCCCGCTTCACTGCAGACGCTGCACCTATCCGCTTATCGATCTCACGCTCCATTTTCCCTCATTCGTGAACAAGACCCCAAGATACTTGAACTCCTCCACTTGGGGTAGGACCTCCTCCCTGACCCAGAGAGGGCACTCTACCCTTTTCCGGCTCAAGACCATGGCCTCGGATTTGGAGGAACTGATCTTCATCCCGGCCGCATCGCATTCGGCTGCGAACCGCTCCAGCGAAAGCTGTAGATCACGATCTGATGAAGCCAATAAGACCACATCATCTGCAAAAAGCAGAGACGCAATTCTGAGGCCACCAAAACGGATCCCCTCAACACCTTGGCTGCGCCTAGAAATTCTGTCCATAAAAGTTATGAACAGAATCGGTGACAAAGGGCAACCTTGGCGGAGTCCAACTCTCACCGGGAACAAGCCCGACTTACTGCCGGCGATGCGGACCAGGCTCTGACACCGGTCATACAGGGACCTAACAGCCCGTATCAAAGGGCCTGGTACCCCATACTCCCAGAGTACCCCCCACAGGGCCCCCCGAGGGACGCGGTCGAACGCCTTCTCCAAGTCCACAAAGCACATGTAGACAGGTTGGGCAAACTCCCACGCACCCTCCAGGACCCTGCTGAGAGTGTAGAGCTGGTTCAGTGTTCCACGGCCAGGACGAAAACCGCACTGTTCCTCCTGAATCCGAGGTTCGACTATCCGACGGACCCTCCTCTCCAGAACCCCCGAATAGACCTTACCAGGGAGGCTTAAGAGCGTGATTCCCCTGTAGTTGGAACACACTCTACGGTCCCCCTTTTTGAATAGGGGGACCAGCACCCCGGTCTGCCAATCCAGGGGAACTTCCCCCGATGTCCACGCAACATTGCAGAGTCGCGTAAGCCAACACAACCCTACAACATCCAGAGCCTTAAGGAACTCTGGGCGGATCTCATCCACCCCTGGGGCCCTGCCACCGAGGAGCTTTTTAACCACCTCGGTGACCTCAGCACCAGAGATTGGAGGGCCCGACCCAGAGTCCCCAGGCTCCGCTTCCTCAGTGGAAGACGTGCCGATGGGATTGAGGAGGTCTTCAAAGTATTCCGCCCACCGACCCACAACATCCCGAGTTGAGGTCAGCAGCACACCACTCCCACTATAAACAGTGTTGGTGGCATACCGCTTCCCCCCCCTGAGATGCCGGATGGTGGACCAGAAACGTCTCGAAGCCGTGCGGAAGTCGTTCTCCATGGCCTCTCCGAACTCCTCCCATGCCCGAGTTTTTGCCTCAGCAACCACCCGAGCCGCATGTCGCTTGGACTGCCGGTACCCATCAGCTGCTTCCGGGGTCCCACAGGCCAAAAAGGCCCGATAGGACTCCTTCTTCAGCCTGACAGCATCCCTCACCGACGGTGTCCACCATCGGGTTCGAGGGTTGCCGCCGCGACAGGCACCGACAACCTTGCGGCCGCAGCTCTGGTAAGCCGCCTCGACAATAGAGGCACGAAACATGGTCCACTCAGACTCAATGTCCCCCACCTCCCTTGGAACATGTTCAAAGTTCTCCCGGAGGTGGGAGTTGAAACTCCGTCTCACAGGAGACTCTGCCAGACGTTCCCAGCAAACCCTCACAATACGTTTGGGCCTACCAGGTCTGACCGGCATCCTCCCCCACCATCGGAGCCAACTCACCACCAGGTAGTGATCAGTTGACAGCTCCGCCCCTCTCTTCACCCGAGTGTCCAAGACATGTGGCCGCAGATCAGATGAGACGATGACAAAGTCGATCATCGAACTGCGGCCTAGGGTGTCCTGGTGCCAAGAGCACATATGGACACTCTTATGCTTGAACAAGGTGTTCGTTATTGACAATCCATGACGAGCACAGAAGTCCAACAACAGAACACCACTCTGGTTCAGATCAGGGGGGCTGTTCCTCCCAACCACACCCCTCCAAGTCTCACTGTCATTGCCCACATGAGCATTGAAGTCCCCCAGCAGAACAAGGGAGTCCCCAGAAGGTGCACTTTCCAGTACCCCCTCTAAGGACTCCAGAAAGGGTGGATAATCTGAACTGCCGTTTGGTGCATAAGCACAAACGACAGTCAGAACCCGTCCCCCAACACGTAGGCGGAGAGAGGCCACCCTCTCATTCACCGGGGTGAACCCCAATACACAGGCACCAAGTTGGGGTGCAATTAGTACGCCCACGCCTGCTCGGCGCCTCTCACCAGGGGCAACTCCAGAGTGGAAGAGTGTCCAGCCCCTCTCAAGGAAACTGGTTCCAGAGCCCGAGCCATGCGTAGAGGTGAGTCCGACTATTTCTAGCCGGAACCTCTCAGCCTCACACACCAGCTCAGGCTCCTTCCCCACCAGTGAGGTGACATTCCACGTCCCAATAGCCAGCTTCTGTAGCCGAGGATCAGACCGCCAGGGTCCCCGCCCTCGGCCACCACCCATCCCACATTGCACCCGACCCCTTTGGCCCCTCCCACAGGTGGTGAGCCCATGGGAAGGGGGACCCACGTCTCCTCTTCGGGCTGTGCCCGGCCGAGCTCCATGGGTAAAAGCCCGGCCACCAGGCGCTCACCCACGTGCCCCACCTCCAGGCCTGGCTCCAGAGTGGGGCCCCGGTGACCCACGTCCGGGCAAGGGAACACTAGGTCCATTTGTGTTTTTCATCATAGGGGTGTGTTTGGGCTGCACTTTGTCTGGTCCCTCACCTAGGACCTGTCTGCCATGGGTGACCCTACTAGGGGCATAAAGCCCCTGACAGCATTGCTCCTAGGATCATTGGGACACTCAAACCCCTCCACCACAGTAAGGTGGCAGCCCAGGGAGGGGTACAGCACCTCAACTGAAGAAATCTTTCGGATGAAAGACGAAACGTTTATACAATTTTTTTTTGTTCGTCCAGAGGACCTGACAACATGTTTCGCTCAAAGTGTTATTACTTGAGTTGTGTCAGATTTGGCTGGTTATGTAAACCGACAAACATTGGTTGTTAAATTATGTCATGCACATGTTTTAGTCACTTTAATATTTTATCCTTTTATAAAAATGTGATTTTTCTTAACTAAATCCATAAATCTGTAAAAAAAAACAAAAAAAAAAACATGTATGTATGTATGTATGTTTTATTTATTCATTTCATTTCATCCAAACAACAAATATAATACAATTTAAAGAAAAGAAAAAAGATATACAATCACCGAAATAAAATGAAAGGCAGCAGAAGAAGAATGAATTCTTATAATATCTGCCCCTTGTCCCCAAAATATATTCCAAACAAAATTACTATACAAAAGCAAGATGAATTTATTTGAGTTATTTTTATGAACTCACATTATACTTAATATTAAAAAAAAAAACAAATTTTTATCATCTTCTTGAATATGTACATAGTTTTGGCATTTTTAATATCAACCTCCAGATCATTCCACAATCTAATACCCTGAGATCTAGTGGATCGCATCTTCAGACTGGTGCGACACCACGGCTTCACAAACATCTCCATCCCCTTAAGATAATAATTACTTCCTCTTTTAACAAATTTCCCTTGAATGTTAGTAGGTAGTATGTTTTTGTTGGCCCCATACATAAACAGTAAGATATTGTAATCAACCAAGTCATAAAATTTTAATAACTTTAGCTGAAGAAACAATATATTTGACGGATGGTTATAATCTTTTCTGGTAATAATTCTTATGGCTCTTTTCTGTAAAATAAAAATTGGATTTGTAATTGTTTTACATGCTTTACCCCAGACTTCAATACAGTAAATTAAATGTGGAACAATAATGGCATTATACAATAGAAACATTGCTTTATCATTGAATAACTCTCTAACTTTGTACATTACTGCAATCGATTTAGCTATTTTAGTTCTTAAGTTTTTTACGTGTGATCTCCATGTTAGTTTTTCATCAATGATGACACCCAGAAATGTCACCTCATTGACTCTATTAATTTCAATTCCATCGACTCTAAATGGAGTATCAAGCACTTTCTTGTTATTACTAAAAATCATATAATTTGTTTTCTCAACATTTAAAGATAATTTGTTTAGTTTAAACCAATTTTGTATTTTCACAAATTCTGTTTGTGCCATCTTCAGCATTTGCACAACATTTTCACCCACACAAAGAAAAGTAGTATCATCTGCAAACAAAATACATTTAAAAAATCCAGTCACATTTACCAGGTCATTCACATATAAAATAAATAGCTTAGGTCCAAGTATAGAGCCTTGAGGCACTCCACATGTAATATTACAGAATTCAGATTTTACATCATTTATTTGAACAAATTGTTTCCTTTTTTCTAGATAACTAGATACCCACTGCAATGCATGCCCTCTAATTCCATATTTATTTAGTTTTTTGAGAAGAATATTGTGATCAATAGTATCAAATGCTTTCTTTAGATCAACATAAATACTAATACAATATTTTTTTTGATCCACAGCAGTCGTTATCTGTTCCATTAAATCCATGAGTGCCATTGACGTAGAATTTTTAGGTCTAAACCCATATTGACTATTACTTAATATATTTTGCTTATTGATAAATTCATCTAATCTAGTGACAAATAATTTCTCTAAAATCTTCGAAAACTGTGGCAACAACGATATTGGCCTGTAATTATTAAACACATGTTTCTCTCCACTCTTATATAATGGTATTACCTTGGCAATTTTCATGTTATTTGGAAATACCCCTGTTGAAAATGATAAATTGCATATATATGTAAATGGCTTAATAACATAACTCATAATATTCTTTACCAGCATCATATCCATGTCCATCCAGTCTTTTGATTTTTTATCTGCAAGATGTTTTACGATAGTCATAATTTCTTCTTTATCAGTTCCCCCAAGAAAAAAACAGTTTGTGTAATCCGTAACCGTATGGTTTACATTTTTATCTATATTTGGGATTTTTGCTGCCAGACTTGGGCCAATATTCACAAAATGTTCATTGAATCCATTAGCGATTTCATTTTGGTCATAAATGTCTTTGTCATCTTTTACAAAATATTGTGGAATGCTCGATTTTGTTTTATGATTATTCAGAACACTGTTCATTATTTGCCATGTTGCCCTCATATTACCATTACTTTGGTCTAATAATTCACTGTAATATTTCTTTTTATGCTTTCTTATAATCCCTACCAATTTATTTTTATAATTTTTATATCTCTGTTCTGCTTCGTTTGTTCTTAATTTCAGAAAGTTTGAGTATAAGTAGTTCTTTTTTTTTTTACAAGCATTTCTTAACCCTTTGGTCATCCACGGTTTGTCATCAACACGTTTCTTTGTGTAATTTTCTTGTACACAATTTTTTTCATATAAAACTCCTAAAATATTCATAAATACATCATATGCTTTGTTTACATCATCAACATATACACCCTTCCAATTTTGTTTTGTTAAATCTTCTTTTAGTTTATCTACAGATTTCTTTGATGTGTTTATTATTTTTTTCATAATTTTATCTACTTTCACATCATATTGATCTTTTTTATAGATAGTGAAGACTGGTAGGTGGTCACTGAAAAAACATGCTCACCTTCTTTGTGGAGTGCTTCTGGGGTTCTTTGCTTTGCCCTTTCACTTTCATCTTGGCCTCCTCCTCCTCCACATCCTCGAGTACAAGGTCCAGCTTCTTCTGAACGATGCTCACTACATAGAAAAGCACAGCAGTTGATTGTACGCCGTGCGCTGTTTAAATAAATGTGAGCTCAATCACTGAGGGGATCCCTCAAACCCAGAGACATTTGAATAATAAGTACTTCAACAAGTGGATGATTTTTCCCAGACATTTGTCTACAGAACCCATAAAAGCTGTGTTATTTACATCTAACAGGGGTAGAACGATAAAGTGAAAATGAATGAGCAAATGAAGTATAGATTTATGTAAAAGGTTGAAGTTTGTTGCTTTCTTGCATTACTATTAACAGGAAATTCTCACGTCCTCATGGTGCACTTTCATGTGGAGCAGAGTTTTAAATACTTCTGTTTTAGTTTCTATAGAATTTGTAAGTCTGTTATTTTACTTTTCTTTTTCTGCTGTGTGACTCATTACTGTTTTGATTGGTCATGTGACTGCATATGGTCTGTCCCTCATCCTTTGTCAGTCTGTTCACCTACCTGCTACCTTTGTTCTACCTTTGTTTTTATTTCCCTTGTTTTATTTAAAGCTGTTCTTGATGTCCCACAAACCTGTGAGATTTAATATTTCAGTTGAGGCAATAAGCTGGTTTACATCTTATCTTCAGCCTACAGCTCAGTGTGTTAAATTAGATCAAGACATCCATCCATCCATCCATTATCTTTTACCCGCTTCTTCCATTTTGGGTCACGGGGGTCGCCGGTGCCCATGTCCAGCAATCACTGTGCGAGGGGTGGGGTACACCCAGGACAGGTCGCAAATCCATCACAGGGACACATAGAGACAAACAACCATTCACCAATTCTGCAGCCTGTATACATGTGGATCAGCTTCTTCACACTAATATTTACTTGTGCAACATGTGTGTTTTTGCTCTTTACATCCAAACTAAAACAATTTTGTCGGACAAGATGAGAGGCGAGATGTCTAGCTGCTTCAGGAGGACGTTGCAGCCACCTCTCGGTGACTTTTACAACATCTCTCAAATGTAAAAGTGGAGCAGTACGTACATAAAAATTGAAAGTATAGGAGTAAAGTTACAAAATAAACATTATGTGGAGGAATTCTTATTTTATGATATAATAAATATGAGATTAAGAGTTGTATTTACAAAGTTTTTCATTGTGGCTGATTTTTCCCTTAAGGAACATGATTGTGTAGTAAAGTCACTGTGAGGTTAAGGGAGCATTCAAAAGAATACTGCAAATAATTTACAAATATTTAAATTAAATAATAATTTTATTTAGCTTTTCTAAGTTTTGTGAGAAAAACTGCATTTATTGACTGCACTTGTAAATAAATTAAACAAATAAAAACACAAACAAACATAAATGTGTGGCTGATTTTTCCCCAAAAGACAATACAAGGGTTGATGGCTCTCCATCCTCTGACCCCTGAATTCAAGCATGCAGCTGTCCAACCTCTGCAAAAAAAAATAAAAAAAAATGCAATTCTTGCATTTTACAGGCCTATTTAAAAACTACAGTTTTTCTAAAATCATTAAAAAGATAGTTTACAACCAATTAATGTCTTTCCTGAAAAGGCTAAATAATTTAGATGTTTTACAATCTAGTTTTACATTTCTACACAGCACTGAATGAACACTTTTTAAAGGTTTTTAACAGCACATTTTTAGCCACTGACTGGCGACTTTGTGCTTTTAGATTTGGCAGCTGTTTTTGACATGGTGGACCGTGAGATTTTATTATCTCAAAGAAGTGGTAGGCATCAGGGATTCAGGTTCTATCTGATCAAGCAAACTTTTTTCTTCAGTCTTGGTTACCATGTGTCCTTCTCTGCTCCTCTCTCATAAGGGGTCCTACAGGGGTCAGTTTCAGGGCTCCTCCTCTTCTGTTTTACTCCCACTTGGGTCTATTTTTTTTTTTTTTTTTACAAAATATGGAATTTCTTTTCATCGCTACATGAACAACTGTCAGGTTTATGTCCTCCTTAAGAAAAATAAGACATTTTCTTGAAAACCAGTGCTGGAACATCATGATAACTTTAAGGCTTTGATAAGTCTGACCTTTTTATACTTAACTGAAAAGAAGACTGAAGTTATGTTTTTTGGCGGTTCCACTAAGACCCCTTGTGGGGATCGTTGGCCCAATACATCCAACACAAGCCTGGGCTCAAGGTGGATGGTGATTCAGAGCAGATTCAATCAGAGCAGTGATTTAGTCAAGCAGCTGGCTAAGTAAAACCATTTGTTTCTAGAGGGCACTTTGAGACAATAATCCACACCTTCATCACCACAGCTGAACTACTGTAATGCATGTTATACAGGGGCATGTCTTTTAACTGGTGCACAAAAAAAATCATGGGCACATTTCCTCTATTTCAGCCATACTGCACTGGCTGCCTGTACACATTTTAGGATTAATTTAAAAAATGATTTATTTATGGGTGGTCTTTCTCCACGCCAACTTTTTGAGTTGTTAAATCCCCGTTAACCCTCCAGTTACATCTGATCAGCTGCTCTCGAGTGTCCTAAAAACTAAATTAAGCTTTTAGGGGATTTGGGTGTTGCTGCAGTCAGTGGCGATTTTAGCAGCACCCCTTAAATTTAACTCTGAACCCCTGAAAAATAAAGTAAAAAAAAATAATAATTTAATAATAATAATTATTATTATTATTATATTTTACAAACCGGATTCCAAAAAAGTTGAGACACTAAACAAAATGTGAATAAAAACTGAATGCAATGATGTGGAGGTGCCAACATCTAATATTTTATTCAGAATAGAACACAAATCACAGATCAAAAGTTTAAACTGAGAGAATGTATCATTTTAAGGGAAAAATCTGTTGTTTCCAAATTTCATGGCGTCAACAAATCCCAAAAAAGTTGGGACAAGTCCATTTTTACCACTGTGTGGCATCCCCCCTTCTTCTTACAACACTCAACAGATGTCTGGGGACAGAGGAGACCAGTTTCTCAAGTTTAGAAATAGGAATGCTCTCCCATTCATGTCTAATACAGGCTTCTAACTGTTCAATTGTCTTGGGCCTTCTTTGTCGCACCTTCCTCTTTATGATGTGCCAAATGTTATCTTTAGGTGAAAGATCTGGACTGCAGGCTGGCCATTTCAGTACCCAGATCCTTCTCCTACGTAGCCACGATGTTGATTGCTGCAGAATGTGGTCTGGTATTATCGTGTTGAAAAATGCAGGGTCTTCCCTGAAATAGATGACGTCTAGATGGGAGCATATGTTGTTCTAGAACCTGAACATAGTCCTCTGCATTAATGGTGCCTTTCCAGACATGCAAGCAGCCCATGCCACAAGCGCTCATGCAACCCCATACCATCAGTGATGCAGGCTTCTGAACGGAGCGTTGATAACAACTTGGGCTATCCTTGTCCTCTCTTGTCCGGATGACATGGCGTCCCAGTGTTCCATAAAGAACTTCAAATCGTGACTCATCTGACCACAGAACAGTCTTCCATTTTGCCACACTCCATTTTAAATGACCCCTGGCCCAGTGCAAACGTCTGAGCTTGTAGAGCTTGCTTAGAAATGGCTTCCTCTTTGCACTGTAGAGTTTCAGCTGGCAACGGCGGATGGCACGGTGGATTGTGTTCGCTGACAATGCTTTCTGGAAGTATTCCTGAGCCTATTCTGTTATTTTCTTGACAGTGGCATTCCTGTTTGAGGTGCAGTGACGTTTAAGGGCCCGGAGATCACGAGCATCCAGTAGAGTTTTACGGCCTTGACGCTTACGCACAGTGACTGTTCCAGATTCTCTGAATCTTTTGATGATGTTATGCACGGTTGATGATGATAACTTAAAAAAGTCTCTGCTATTTTACGCTGGGTAAAACCATTCTGGTATTGTTGCACTATCTTTCTGCGCAACAATGGTGGAATTGGTGATCCTCTTACCATCTTGGCTTCTGAGAGACACTGACACTCTGAGAAGCACTTTTTATACCCAATCATGTTGTCAGTTGACCTAATTAGTGTTAATTGGTCTTCCAGCTGTTCGTTATATGCTCAATTTCCTTTTGCCAGCCACTTATTGCTACTTGTCCCAACTTTTTTGAGATTTGTTGACACTGTGCAATTTTGAATCAACATATTTTTCCTTTAAAGTTTTACATTTCCTCAGATTAAACTTTTGATCTGTCATCTATGTTATATTACGAATAAAATATTGACATTTGCCATCTCCACATCATTGCATTCAGTTTTTATTCGCAATTTGTTTAGTGTCCCAACTTTTTTGGAATCCAGTTTGTATTTTTTGCTGGTTCTGTGTTTGGGTTCTGTTTATTGCTTTTATGATTCAATGCAACAACATAAGCACATTTAAAAGGTAGATCGTTGTAATACTTGATTTATTCACGTAATGACTTTAGTTACTGGATGTCCTGCCCCTGAGCTGCTGGCTTTCAGTAACTGTGGCCCCCCTGAACAGTTTTGCCTAAAAGCCCTGATTTAGAGAGTTGAATACAGTTTATTCAATTTCCAAAACCTAAACTGAATCTGGAAAAATGTAAAAGATGATAAAGCCCTGCGGCTGACGTCATGATCTGCTGAATACAACAGTGATAAACAGGAAGTAGAACATGTTCATCTGTATGAAAGTAACTGCAGGTAAATCCTCCTTTTTCTGTCATAATTACATCGTATGGTTAATGGTAAAATTAAAGGTTAATGATTTAAAGGTAGTTGTGTTTTTTTTTTGTGTGTTTTAAATGTAGATATATGTTGTAACTTATGGTTGCATAAGTTAAGTCTTTGCTTGTTATGATCAGTTAAAATTTTGTAGTGAACTAAGCCTCAGGTCAAGTTGTGTTCAGACAACGATGCTCTACAACAACAGTTGCAACAAGCATCAAATGCTCTGAGCGGATGCAGAGCTGAGATAGACATGCTTAAAACGCAACTTTGCCATGCAGAAAGGAAAAATAGTGAGAGGCATGGACAGAATGTGGGGACACACTGGGCTCCAGACCCAAATCTCCTTACATCACACACACCTCCACCCTTACCTAAAGTAGCAGGG